GCTGCCGGGGGCGCGGCGGCCACTTGTTGCGGGCGCCCGCGAGAGCGAGGCGCGACCCGGCGTGGCCCGCCGCGGCCGCACTTTTGTTAGCGCCAGGCGCCTCCTCTCGCCGCCCAGCGTCAATCACAGCTGGAGCCCGGCGGGGAAGGCCGGCCCGCAGACGCGCGGCCTTTTAAAGGGGCAGCGCGCCTTTTCGGGGATCCGCGGCGGCCCCCCTCCTGGGCGCCTCTCTGCGTGCCCCCCCCCCCGCGAGCCCTTTGCAGCGAAAGAACGCGCTGCTGGCTGTGCTTTACTATTGTTCCTGCACAGGCGGGCCCTATGTGTAGGACGAGCTTGCACGCGTCCTTCGAAGCCCCCTGGGCTTGGCCACCTAGGGTCTAGGTCGGGTGGGTGGGCATTGAAGAGCAACGTGCGTGGGCGACTGCTGTTGACAGGTCTCGGGGATCTACGCGGCCCTGCGTCTGCGGCTCTGGGTTTGGGATTCCAAGCTGGGAATGGAGGATGGGCGGGGACGACGCAGGCAAACTTAGCGGGAGCGGCCCGGAGCGGGGAGACCTTCCTGCCCCTAGAAGGAGGCTTCCTGGTTCAGAACTTTTAAGAGCTTCGGAGCCAGGAAGTGTACTTTCTCCTTTCTGTTTTCTTTCTTTCTTTCTTTCTTTCTTTCTTTCTTTCTTTCTTTCTTTCTTTCCTCTTTTCTTGTCGTTGGTGTTACCCTCTGTTTAAAACTTTACACTGTCTTTTGGACACTTACATGGCATTCCTAGACCCTTAAAGTAGCCTGTGGTGAACCTCTTCACTAGACATAAGAAAGGAAGTTCTTGTCAATGTTAAATTGCCTTTCCGTGTGGTGCCTACAACGCGACAGCTCCGAGTCTTGCAAAGATCAGGGCTGTTCAGAGTTTCCTCCCAGGAAGGCAAGCACGCAGCAGCTCTCCTTGGAGGTCCTGGAGCCTGTAAATCAATCGAATAGAGCAGGAGTATTTCTACATTTCTTAAAAGACGTATCAGTAGTGATTGGACTTCCTATAAATTTACTTGAATAATTTCCTACAATTGTTCTTAAAAATAAGTTAAAGCCTCACATTTGAAAATCTGAACATCTAGATTTATAGTGCAAAAGACACTATATGCTGAAATACTGATTAATTCATCTAAATATCAATAAATTCCTCTATCTTAATGTTGTAGGCAGCTGCGTTAGATAGAAATATTACAGGCAGTCACACAGGGTTGGGCCGCAAAGAAGCCGGTGGGGATGACGAGATACCTCGCAACTGTGGGAAAGACCACAAGATGAGGCAAAGGTAGCCACAAACCTCCCTAGGGATGGACGTCAGGGATTGATAGTCTAAATAGGTGTCAGTCACCTTGAAAAAGCCTGGAAGAGTCACCAAGCCAGCCCCCTCCAGAAAAAGCCCCTGTTCTGTACTCATGTCCACTTACTGCTGGCTGGCCTCTTCAGCTGGTCCCCACTGAATCAGTTGTTTTTTTGTTTTTTGGCGGAACCGGGGATTGAACTCAGGCCCTTGCACTTGCCAGGGAAGCGCTTATTCCACTGAGCCATCTTCCCGGCCCTGAATCAGTTTTAACTGAGGAGTTGTAGTCATAATCTTGTTGGTTGACCATAGTTTTGTCCCACCTCATGACCACCTTCTGTTCCCTTGTTTCCCTCTTGGTTTTCGTGTATAAAATCCTCAGGAAAGACAAGATCCTTGGCAACCCACGCGGGCCCCCTTTTGTCCCTCTCTCAGACAGAAGCTTCCGTTGCCCCCACTAAATATATTCTGCTCTTAACCTCCATTGCTCCTAAAAGTCATTCTTCAGTTTTAGAGAACATGAACTCATCCCAGATATCTTTCAGGCTGGGAGTTTCTTTCCCCTATATCATTAAGAACACAAAAAGGGTACTCTTTGGAACTATTTTCCTGGGCTGAAGAGATGGCTCAGTGGAATAAGCGCTTGCCTAGAAAGCGCTTATTATACTAAAAATAGTCACAAGAAATATTAATCTATAAAAAGGAAAATGAATCAAATAGCTGTATGATATGTGCTTCTGCTTTCAGTTTCTTCATATTTATTTCGAATATTTTCCCTTCTTGAGTAAACTGTTGCCTTCAAAACTCTGAATTACCTGCTAATCTTCAGATTTCTTTAATGTGTCAGAATATGGTTAGATTTGCACGCACAGCTCAGGTAACTACACTGGAAAACAGCAGCTTCTAGTTGGACAGCAGGCTTCTACTTAAATGTATGTGTTTTCTGAAAGAAGAAATATTGTTTTTTAGTCAACAGAGATTCATCATCAGGGCCTGAGTTCAATCCCTGGTTCTGAAAAAAAAAATGAAATAATTTTCCTCTCTTCTAATTCAAAGACATGAAAAAGGATATTTTATTGTCCTTTTTAATGTCTAGAAGTACCACATTGCCTGGTCAATAACATCTAACTCTCAAATATCCGTTAAATTAAAACCTGTTCCATGGGCCTTAGGTAAAGAAGGGTGTCCCACATGTGGAAAACTAAATGAGTTTTCATAGAATCTATTCAAAGGCACAAGCCTGACGGAGAAAGTACCAACAGCTCCATTACCTTAATAGAGAAGGAAAGGTCTTCTCATTTGTCCGTGAGATTTTTTGTCACCACTTAGAAAACTACCCAAGTTCTTAGGATTTTGAGGCTTAAATGAAGACCAGCCAGCCTTAGAATAGCAAATAAGAAAGGCAAATAAGCTATCTTGGTGTCTGATACAGACTAGATCCCTGCCTTTTGCACAGGATCATCTTTGGATGTTCTCAATCCCTCAGGAAAGTGGCAGAAAGAAGCCAAGAGTTGAGCTCAGAGTTGAGCCATCTAGAGTCAGCCAGGAGGCACAGACAGATGGATTCTCTCCCCCGCTCCCCCGCACCCCTTTGTTTCTTAATCCCTTGATAGGAAAGAAACTCCCAAATAGAAAGATGCCTAGGATGAGTCTGTGCTCTCTAAAAACAAAATGAATTTTAGGAACAACAGAAGTTAGGAGCAGAATATATTTATTGAAGAAAGAAAGCTTCTGTCCAAGAGGGGGACAGAGAAGGACCCAAGTGGGTTGCCAAGGACCCTGTCTTTCCTAGAGATTTCCTAGAGCAAAATCTCCTGGTGAGAAGGGTTCAGAATGAGGTAAAACATGGGAAATTGTGAGGTGGGCATAAGGTGGGACAAAACTATGGTCAGCCAATAGGATGGCAAGCATAATTGCTCAGGAAAAGTGGATTAAATGAGGACCAAATAGAGAAGTGAGTCACATAGTAAGAGGTCATGAATACAGGACAGGGCTTTTCCTGTGGGGCATTGGGTTAGTGACTCTTCCAGCTTTCTCCAGGTGATTGATATCTGTTTAGAATACCAATCACTGATGTCCGTCCCTAGGGAAGTATGTGCCTGCATTTCTTCCTTTTTTTATGAGCAGAATATATTTATTGAGGGAAAGAAAGCTCCTGTACGAGAGAGGGACAGAGGGGGCCCAAGCAGGTGGTTCCCCAGGAAGCTGTCTCTTCCAGGGACTTTTGTAGTGTAAAACCAGGTGGGGCTAAGGTGGAGAGAATGGGAACTTGCTTAGGTAGACATGGGGTGGGACAAAACTATGGTCAACCAATGGGATTACAAGCACCATTGCTCAGGTAAAACTGATTAAATCCAGTATCAAATGGGAAAGCGAGTCACGTAGCAAGAGGGCATGAATATGGGACAGGGTTTCTTCCTGTTGGGGGCCCAGAACCCAGGACAGGGTCTCTTCCCATTGGGGGTTGGGCTAGTGACTCACTTGCGTCTTTCCAGGTGACTGATACATATTTAGAATATCAATCCCAGGTGCTACTCATTTAGCATTTGTTTGGCCTTGAGGCCTTTAGGTCTGGTTCACAGCAGGAGCATCTGCCCCTCCCATAGTTGTAAGGCATCTCATCTTCTGTGCTGTCTCCTTCGAGGGCCTGGCCCTGTCTGACTGCCTATAATATTTTTATCTAACTTAGCTGCCTGTAATATTCCCCCCTCTGAAGAATTAACCTGAACTGCCATGAAG